ACGAACATGTATCTCACATTAATAAGAAGTCAAAATCTCCAACGGGATGATTACCAATCACCGCATTGATCAGAATCATAATTTTGATTGGCATAACGTTGAAATTTTGGACATTGAAGCTTTTTAGAATAAGAGACTAACATCGGAGATGGTTCACATTAAAAAACAGATACACGGGATAAACAAACAGAATGATACAGATTCTCTGCTGGAATCATATCTCAATATTATTCAATCTCTCCCCTTCTTAGTATTGTCCTCTGTCCCCTTCCAAATCACCGTCTTTCCTTTGTCTCCTTGTTTCCTTTTCATAATGTCACCCGACATCGTCGATAATACAAGTGTTCTCTTCAATATACTTTATCATGGCTTATTTTTACCTATTTATATGACTTAGTTAATTTTGCGTGTTTGTCTTAACGTCTGACTCACTCATTACGACTATTGTGAGTATTGCGAGGAGAAAGTGGTACCGGAAACCAGATCCGCTGGTGATGTCGGAATTATACGCGAACGATCACGAGGAGTCAGAAGGTGTCTAATAGAAGAGAGTCAGAGCGATATACAAAGCGATGTGCTGCTGAGCTTTATTCTAGATCAACTGAACAGGTCGTTAAGCGATAGGTACATACACACATCGCGAGATATCCTTCGCTTCGCGAGCACAAAGGAAAGTTGCGAGTGTGTACATCGTGTGACGCGAAGTAAACAGCTGATCGGTAGAAAAACTGTCATGAATCCTGACAGTGTCGGTACCGGTAACAAGCGCGGTTTAAGCAGAATAATTGTCGACAGAAATAATAACTGAGTTGAGTCTAAACATTCCGCCCGCCTTGACAACTATATTAGTTGTCAAAAGAACCGAAATAAAATCAAATTAGGCGGGAGTATACATTACGAGTATAGTCACTGTTCGTTTGAATCAGTCGTTATTCTCGGTAGCAAACACAACTTCACAATCGGTCTCTTGAGAGTTGAAGAAGCCGTCTTCACCGTAGCGACGCGGATGAGTCCGTCCGCGCCAGGGTGTACGTCGATGATGCGTGCGAGAGGCCACTTGGTAGGAGGTCGTTGTTCGTCCTTGACGAGGACTAGAGCTCCGATTTGGTAACGATTGTGAGCCCGATGCCACTTTGAGGAGACCTAAAATTGTGATAAATATTCGGTAGCCCAGCGTTGCCAAAATGACTCTGTCATCTGGCGTAAGAGCTGCCATCGAGTTAGTCTATTTCCTGGTAGATCTTGCAGAGACGGTTCAGGCACGGCAGTGAGAGCTGAGCCTACGAGGAAATGTCCTGGCGTAAGTGCGGAGATGTCCGATGGGTCATCCGAGAGAGTCGTTAGGGGACGAGAGTTGAGGATCGCTTCGATTTGCGCCAAGAACGTTGTCATCTCTTCGTAGGTGAGCAAGGTCTCACCAATGACCCGACGAAGGTGAAACTTGACTGATTTCACTCCTGCTTCCCACTTGCCGCCGAAATGCGGGGCGGAAGGTGGATTGAATTTCCACCGTCGGTGGCGAGATGAGCGGCGATACGAGACCACTCTCGAGACGAGGCCTGAAAGAGGCGTTGTAATTCGGCATCTGCTCCAACGAGATTGGTGCCACAATCGCTCGTGATAGTGGAACAGAGGCCTCTGCGACTCATGAAGCGTTTATATATGGCAATAAAGCCCTCGGTAAAGTAGTCGGTCGCTACTTCGAGGTGTATGGCTGAAGTGCTGAAACATGTGAAGATAATGAAGTATCCTTTGTATGTCTTGGCTCCGCGTCCACGGAAAGTCTTGAGCGTTAACGGG